ACATTCTCAGGTGTTTGCACACTGTACCAATGGTTCAATTGAATCCTCTGAACTGTTGAGAATTTTTTTTAAACATTCAGAAATTGGTGCTGCAAATGCAGGCAAACACAGAGTTGAAGAGTGGTTAATACAATGCATAATGCTTAGAGATTCTAAGAGGAATCTGCAAAGAAACAGTCAAATTGACCACTGAATCTTAAATTATCAGTATCTGCCACAAAACTTAACACATACATGGTCTACATTTCCATGGTCTACAGTAATTAATTCTAATCAGTGTACGGTAAGAAACTAATTCTGTCCATCTGCCTCTTGGTCTGATCTTCTGCAATTTACTGGTACAACAGCAATACCCGTAAATTGTGCAGTCTTTACAGGAAAGAGAAAGTAGGTTAGAAGCCAAACAAGCCCAAAGCAGGTATAATCACACCGCACATCAATTATTCAGGAAACAACTTGTGGCAATTTTCACCAAACAGGAAGGAAGGTGAAACCTGCAGCAGCCATTACTAAATTACAGCCCCATCCCACCTCCCCAAAGCACATTTATTACTCATACGTAACAGTATGAAAACAAAAATCACAAAGTGGCTTTGGTGCTTGAATTTTAAGAAATAGAGAAACAATATACAAAGTTAAGTCATGTTGAAAACAAAAAAAAGGCCTTAAATGTACTGTAAGATTGCAATAAGACTATATTGATGTGTTTTAGCACATTACCGTCAGGATAGATACAATCTTAATAATTTAATTGAGTTTCAAATATTCTGCAGATTCAAACATTTAAGTGAAATATTATTAATGTTTTACATAGAAATTTACAGCACAAGAGGCTATCTAGTTCATCGTGCCTGTACTGATTCCCTGAAAGAGCTCTTCTATACTCCCTAAAAAGGATTAAGAATTCAGCTCTTACATTCGGCAGATTTTGATCATCACAGTACATTTCATATAGCGATAAACTTTGCACTTAAAAGAAAATTCTTCCCATTCAGAAGACAGTCTATGATACTACAATACAAAAATAATGTGCAACCTTCAAGAGTCCAAAGAAATTGGCAGCCTTGTTGTTCATCATCACGAATAATAATCCTTGCATTTGTTATAGTGCCTTTCATGCTGGGGCAACATCTTGAAGTGCTTCGCAGGATTTACTGTGAAGTGCAGTGACTATGTAATGTGTAGGTGAATGTAAACCTTAACCATAGAGTGATATAATGTAGTTACTTGCTTATGCTGAGCTGTTGATGAAAATGACACACAGCAAATAAAACAAAGCAAGAAATTCCACCAGAGTCTCGATCTACTCTATTTTCTCAGCCATTTAGAATGTTCAGCACAGACGTGTGCTCAAACCTTCCAGGGGCTGGGGGAGAGGGGGGGAAGTAAGGTAAGCAGGGTTACCTTGAATCTGAATCGGCTCCAAGGTGACAGGCTCACCAATGGATTGTCAGTCCTATGTGACGGTCTCTGTGGTTCCTGAGCCAGTCAAGTCTGCAGTACTCCAGCATGTGGCTGATAGCAGCCCAAGCAGCCTGGCTCATCGGCAGGACTTGGGAGGGACAGACCAGTCACTGGAGTCAAGGGTTCTTCATACCGAACTCCTGTTAACCTGCAAGCCAAAGCCTCAATGGGTAGGGTGGTCCTAGCTGGACAAGCAGCAGGAAGCTCGACAGACAGTGCTTTCAACGGTAGGCTATGCAGTCTTAGTTTGACAAAACTCCGGTGGGATCCCAAAGCACACTCTTGAGGAGGTAATGACAAACCAATCCACCCTGAGTGTTGAGCCACTGAGAACAGCAGCACTTGAAAGGTGAACAAAGTGGTTGAAAAAGTTTGGGGACTTCCTGTAAAAAAAAGGCAAGTGCAATGTTTCCAGCTAATAACCGTAGACAATTTTTGTTTAATTTACATTGGCACCTGGCATAGTGACATCCAGTATCTCAAACAGCACCTGTTAGAATGCTGGATAAACATCTCAAACTAAATGAAAGAGCATATTGCTCTGAGCTTCAACGGAAAATAACTTGATACAGAGCATTGATACATTAGCGCTGACTGCTGTATTACGCTCACAAAATATACAGTCACTGCACTTTACAGTGTATTCTGTGAAGCACTTTGAGAAGTCTTGAAGACGTGGTGAGGCGCTATATCAAATGCAAGGATTATTATTATTATTAGCAGTTTATTATAAGCAAAGACTTGTCGCTGCCATCACTTGCTGCACGTTTCACACATGCACTGCTTATGTTAGTTACTTCCTTTGTGAAATGATGCCAAAGGCACTTCCTGGAGGTACGTAGGAAGTGAATTGACGAGCGAGTAGACAAGCTAGAAGTCTGCTGGCTGATCTGTACGTGTGCGGGCGGTGAATGCTGAAGCGCTAACTGGTAATTGTGCCGCATTGCAATGGTAGCTAGGATTTTATGGACCTCAATACGCTCTATTGTAGAATGAAGGGAGACAGATACAAGCCACTACTTGAATACCGGTTTATCTTTGGCGTACACAGCAACTCCAATATGAGTTAGAGCTCTGGTCACCTGAGTTGGCAATTGCACTGGCTCTAGTCCCAGCTGAGTAACTCATGATGTATGCATGCATTCTATTCAAATGTGCAGTAGAGAATATTTGCTGAGCATTCTGTATTCCCAGAAAATTCAAACAGTAGGTAAATTTCAGTTTTACTAGAAAAATCCGGATGATGAGATCCAACTGCTTCCAATGCAAAACTGTGTCCATTACCACAAACACACCCTATCCTCAACCCAACCTAACTCACCAATCTAGAACCACTGTTAACATTCACTTTCTTTCATTTAAAAAATATTCAGGTGCATTCTTTCATCTCCATATGGATTAGTAAGGAATTAGTAAGGATTGGAAAACAAGAAGGGTGAAGATGTACCAGGGAGTGCCAGAACAAAGCTTTGTGACTAGTCAGGCAGGATCTCAGTTTAACGTCTCATCCAAAAGGATGAAAAGCTTTTTAAAAAAATTAAGAGGAAATTGTTGTACAAATAGTAGCAGCAAAGATAAAGTAGTATGGCAAAAGTCAGGGATTGAGATTAAAAGATTTGCAAAGATCTAACACACCTCCTAAACTGGTGAAACAGGCTCAATGGACTGGATGGCTCCATTATCCCACGTGAACACCACCATAAAATAAGTATGTAAGATTAATGGGTAGTTACCAGGAAAGCCCAACCCGTGACTATAAATGTTTTAAAAAAAACATTGGTAGGATTACAAGATTAACTCCCTCACGATAAGATAACACCTCTTACTAACTTCAATTTCTAGTTACAGCAGATGGTACTGGGACATTTATGGTTTACTGTTTCAACTTTGATACAATGATATTTTCAGGGTGAAAATAATTTTGCAGTTTAGCAACAGCACAAAAAGCAAGAACTCCACTTAAAGGAGATGTCTCCAACAATGGAAACCTGCAGAGTAAACGTAAACCAGAGGATTGAGGTATCAAAGGAAAACTCTAGTGGATTTTGGTACATTTAATGAATTAACTAAGTAAGATTATGTTCACTGAGGCATGAATAAAAAAGTTTATTCGTCAGGAGGACGTCCAAAAGCACTGGATAGTTAGGCATTTGGTCCCGAGCTGGGGGTCAGGAGCGGGGAGGGTGGAGGGCAGCTGAAGGCTCAGTCGAAGAGGAGGGTTTTGAAACTTGCTTTGAAGGAGACTGGGGAAGAAGTGAGGCAAAGGGACTGTGGGATGGAGTTCCAAAGGGTGGGGGCAGAAAGGCTGAAGGCTCGGCCACCGATGGTGGAGCGGGCCGGGAGAGGAACGTGGAGCAGGTCAGAGCCTGCTGAGCGTAGGGAGTGGATAGCAGGCGGGGGAGGAGATGCCTTGGGTTCAACAAAAGCCACAATTCATTTATATCTCTTATTTTATAACTAGTTTGTCTTGGAAGGCAATCTTAGGTATAATGTGAGGTCAGATTTTATGGAGCCAAACCACATCATAATTATTTTTATTGTTGCATGTGCTCCATTGCTGTTTCAGCATACCCAATCAGGTGGACTAACCGTATACACAGAAAATTAGACAATATGCATCACTTAATTAAAAATATATCAAACTCTAGGGAAACAGCAACACTGGGAATCTGAATTGCATATTCCATCAATAACAACCTTAATAGCAAGTAACGTTTAACTCTTAAATTAGTATCCATATCTCAGAAACACAAATCTGATGAATTTATCATCATTTTACTCCAGTCCATTACTGCATTCTACAGGATATGGTTTGTAAAGCTTGATATAGTAGAACTGACATTGCCATTTGATACTTTAAGGACTCCAGAAGAAATAACAACTGAAAGCACATCCACTTATATCCACAATCATTGCTAACGTTTATATAATCCTCGTTTATCTTTTCCTGATAAATCAGTCATACTCACATATGCACACTAGAAAGATTCCTGGTTCAACCCTAGCATGTCACATATCAGCCAAGCACTAGAATTGGCCCAGCAGCAGAAGGAGTAGAGACAATAATCATCCTTGCATTTGATATAGCGCCTCATCACGTCTTCGAGATGTCTCAAAAGAGCTTCCCAAAATATACTGTAAAGTGAACTGACTGTAAGCAAAATACTCTTGATACAGCTAGTGTAGCAATATGAGAAAACAAAGAATAAAAGAGAAAAATGTCAGCAATACTACTACTGAACACTTCAACAACCCTCACTGAAAACTTCTTTTATATGCATTTCTCTATGTCAGGGATATAAAAGGTATGTTATACATAGAGTTCCATTACTAGATAGCCAGTAAACACCAAACAAAAATAGTTTTTTCTGTGTATTAACATTTGAAGGTGCTGCAAATTATGAAATGAACCTTTTGACAGACATGCACAAACAAAAGGAGTGTTGGGATTGAAAGGTCTTAAAGTTTAATAAAAGTTTATCGTTTATGACAGAACCTATATCAAAAAATATAATCAAAAAAGGAATAATACAAACCTTTGGTGTAGACGAAGAGCTAGTCAGTGAGGAATGAGAAAGCTACAACAGTCACAGGGGATCAGATGCAAAAAGAAAACAGAAGAAGGAAAGATTGACGTTAGAAAAAAAGAAATACCCTGATGTTTCTCACAAGAGGACAAATAGCCATTTCACAATAGGACACATTGCCATTTCACAATATAAAGCATTTCACTTGTTTCACTTTGCAAGGGAAGATGTTCCAGATTAAATTGAACATAAAACTAAGATGATGGAGGAACTGTTAAAGAGGTATGTTTTGAAAAGGGGAAGCAGGGAGCGAGTTGGAACAATCCATTTGGAGGTATTCTGGGATAAAATTAAGAGTAATAACAATCCTTGCATTTGAAATAGCTCCTCATCATAACCTCCAGATGTCTCAAAGTGCTTCACAGAACATACTGTAAAGTGTAGTGACTGTATATTTTGTGGGCAAAACGCAGCAGCCAATTGTGAGAGTAAGGACAGAAATGGTAGGGTGAATCCTGTGAGGGACATGAAACGGGGGAGGGGGACGTGAAGTTGTCCAGTGTTTGCTGAGTATTTGGAACTCAGGAAACTTGAGAGAAGAGCGCTGGAGAAGCCTAAGCAGGATGTGATGCAAACGGTTTAACAATTAAAACATTCGTAATTGTTCTTGAATTTTATAAAAATTAGTACAGTTTGAGTTCGAAACAAAAGATGAAATTATTTAAAATTGATAGCAAGAAATGCAGAGTACCTGAATACACAACAGAAGATGAAAATCTGATCTCAATTTTGCCTATTAATGGAAATGTAATTCACTGATTCAGAGAATTTATTCCGGTTATCCCTAAAGTGATATCAGTTTCAATGAAAGTGATCACTGGAGACATACTTACTGCACGCTTCTGAACATCTTGTTCAGAGTGGAGATTAAAGATTGAAAGATCCCCATTCAAGATTACATCAGCCAAAGAATTCACCAATGGTCTATAGTGTATAATTAAAAAGACCTGAAAGAGACATTTTAACAATTAGAAAAGAAGCATCATGTGTTAGCCTTTCTAGAGTGCAATGGAAGCTTTAATAATATTATAGAACTCTTGACTGATTTAAGGGGTTATTGTCTTGCATTTATTATAGTTTGTGGGTTGTAGAAACACATCACCCTGTCGAGCAGTATCTAATCCAGACTGAATTCTACCTATAAATTCCACCTTTGCACGGAAATTTCTCTGTGTCAGGAATCGAATGTAAGTCTCTCCAGAGAGATGCACCTGGTTTACCTAATCATGAAAAGCTTATGTAGTGACCACCCTAATCCTTAGGGCTTTGACTTGCAGGATTTACAGGAACTGAGTGGGAAGAATTTGCTTGCAAAGCGAGGGCGCTAACCACTACTCTTCTTGCTATCCAATAATCCTGGCTTCACACCATATCACAAGCAATAGCAAACTACCATGTAAACAAGTTTGAGAGAATTTTATTTTTTTAAAAACACAGCCATGCAAAATCACTGAATAGCTACAATACACTACAGTAAGTATTGCATCATAATATTCAGGATAATAATAATAATAATCCTTGCATTTGATATAGCGCTTTTCACGTCGGGAGGACGTCCCAAAGCGCTTCACAGAACACACTGTAAAGTGAATTGACTGTATATTTGTGGGCGAACGCGGCAGCCAATTGCGCACAGCAATGTCCCACAAACAGTCGTGGATTGAAAATGACCAATTTATTATTGTTTTGGTTTTTTTGGAGGGATTATTATTAGGCTCTGTGTGGAGAAGGAAACGTGCCAAAGGTTTTGCCCTGACCTGCCGGGGATTGAACTCAGGTCTCTCACTTGCAAAGCGAGTGCTCTAACCACTGAGCTACAGGACTCCAAAAAAAGATTGTCATTAGATAGGAATTAAATGTACTGCTAAAGCCAAATCTAAAAACAGATCATAATAAAACAAATACCAAGTAAAATTGGTGGCAAATTACCAACAGCTTCTTCCTTTAATAGTTCTGTAAGTTGTCTGGAGATATTATTTGATCTCTGCGATTCAAGGTTTTAAGCTCAGCAGTGGTTTGACTTCTAATGCAATGATCTTCAAATTTAATAAACTTCAGCTAAATTACAAAGTGTCAGAATCCCACTATGGCAAACCATGGTATCATCGGACTTTACCCTGAATAGGTCCAAAGACCTATTGGCTGTGTCACAAGAACGACCAAGGAGATTAAGTCATTGAGGCGACTCTTTGGCGGGGAAATAGGAATAAAGTAAAATTTAGACAACTCTAAAAATACAACATTTCAAGAAGACATTATTCTCTTACAATTTTGAGAATGTGTACATTTTAATTGAAAACCACATACATTTATTAAGTAACTTAAAACCATAAGCTCCCACTGTGCAACCGGGAACAAAAAACATTCACAATTGAGACACATTTGATGAATGGCCCATTGAACAAAGTAATAAAAAGGTAGATTCAAACCACAGAATTTAAACTCAATATGAATTGACCAACAAAGGTAGGAAACAAATTTGAGGTGGTGTGGTGACAGGGAGGAAAGAGAGAAACGTTTCACAAAAGGACACTCTCCCCCCACCCCCATCAAACACAATATTGTCATTTCTTCCATGCTGCATGGTCAAAAAGCTGAGTGGTCAACCTGTCCCCGGCTACTGCTGTTAATTATTGGTCACTGTGATGTAAAAAGAAGTAATCTTCTCCGACTCTACAATTTTCCTTATCTATGGGGTAAAGTACAGTAAACGCCTGATAACTCGACCCTGGCTTAACTTGTCACTGTGACTGCGAGGACCAACGGCTAGCTCATCACATCAGATAACTCATCACTGGATCCTTTTCCCTTGGAATGACTACTTATCCAGAGTTAGTTTGCATTCATCTCGAGTTGAGTTATAAAAATTTTAAATTAAAATTTGTAGGAGTAAATGTTGAAGTACTATACCTGGGAGAGGAGATAGAGCGACACTTGGGGACTGATCTTTGGACGATCAGCAGTCTGGGGTGGAGGGAAATAAAATAGATTCAATAAATATTTTTGTTCTACACATCATTAAGTTATAAAAAGGATTGTTTCAAAAAATTGAAATTTGTATTTGGAGAAGGGGAGAGGAAAGTAACATTCAGCATTTTTTTTATGGTTACCTGGGTATCTGAAACACGTAAACACTTTCACCATGCTTAAGAGAATCCAACCCAAATAAAGTTCCACATATGCATACACAATGTATTATTTTAATAATAATAATCCTTGCATTTGATATTGCGCCGTATCACTTCTTTGATAGCTTCACGGAATATATTGTAAAGTGAATTTACTGTATATTTTGTGGGCGAAATGCTGCAGCTAATTGCTCAAAGCAGTGTCCCACAAATAGTTGTGGATTGGGTGACTAATTTGTTATTGTTATTTTTTTTTGAAGGAATTATCACCCCTGGAAAAGCGATCCGCTAATTGACTAACAACCGGGTTCCTACTTACTGCAGGGTAAACTGTGGCGTGTGGAGTAAGAAAACTTGCCCAACATTTTGCCCTGCCGGGAATTGAACCCAGGTCTCTCGCTTGTGAGGCGAGTGTTCTAACCACTGAGCTACAGGACTCCACAATGTCATTTTCCTGAAATTTAAAATTCAGAAAAAACCAAAACTTTTACTTTAATTATTACCACAGCTCAGTAATGTCCAATACGGTTACTACCAATCAAAACCACTGCTACATTAATGAGAGGAGCAGCAACATCATTTCATAAGAATTACATAGTAAAACCGATGAAACTCATTTGTCATAGGTTTCTAGTCCACTTCAGTTTTCAGCTTCTCCTCAACACTGCTGGCTGACTTTTCTCTTGGTCTTACTTTCTTTTTCTTGTATAGTAGTTGAGCTTCCAGTTTCCCTATTCAATTTCACTTTCATCAATTTTATTTCCCTCACTTTCAAATCCTTTCTTTGCTTCTTCCCTCCATTGACTATCGGTTACTCTCAGCTGTAACACATTCACCATGTGCAGTAAAGGAATATACCAGAAAAAGCCCTTACAATGGGCCCCTATAATGGGCTTGCACATTTGTTGCAAAATTCATCTTCTGAATTCAATAGGGCAACCGAAAATCTTCATTAGAGATTGCTGTCTCTGCAGCACTGCTAATGCTGGAAAGGGAAACATGAATATTTAACCTCAGCATCAACTCCCAGCGACCAACCCCACCCACTGCTTGTGATCAGGAAAAGTGTCACCTAGTTGTTGGGGTAAAAGCAGGGAAGTAATATTAAATTAAAATCTTGGTTAGATTAGTTAGCCTTATCATGTCTTTGAGAATATACTGTAAAGTGAATTGACTAGATTGGGTGAAACACAGCAGCCAATGGCTCACAGCAGTCTCCCACAAACAATCATGGATTGAGTGACCAAATTATGATTATTGATTTTTTTGAAGCGATTATTACCCCCGGAAAAGCGATCTTCTAATCGACTAACAACTGTGTTTCTACTCACTGCTTAGTGAACAGAGGCATGTAAAGAAACTTGCCCAACAGTTTGCCCTGCTGGGAATCAAACCCAGGTCCTCTCACGTGCGAGGCAAGTGCCCTCACCACTGAGCTTCAGGACTCCAGAATTGATGGGATCAAATTCTGAACTTTATGACAGGTAAACATAGCAAACCATCTGATGCTTAAACAGATATCCTGAGCTGAGGCTATTATGGCTGAACATAGATTTTGAAGTTGTTCATGCACACTGCGTTAGAGATGCAATATAATATTGTTCTGTACATCACACACCAAATGTGCAATGCTACAATAGTGACATCGTCTGGGATTTTGCTGAACTACAACACACCCACTGAAAGTAGGTTTGCCACTTGGCCTTTTTGGAATATTTTAGTTTCACCATTATAAATGGAGACATAAGCAAAGTGTTCCGACAGATTGTGGAACATCAGATAGTGTTACGCTGTAAAAGTTGTATAATGACATAACCTAAATTCCACACTCTGGGATACTGATCGATAAGTGGGTATGTTGAAGAATTCTTTTGAAAACCTAGATGGCAGGTTGGGTGGGTCATTGTTCAACTGCTCATAAAATAATAATAGTAATCCTTGCATAGTAAGTACATCATCACGTGCTTGAGATGTCTCAAAGCGCTTCACAGAATATACTGTGAAGTGAATTAACTGTATATTTCTTGGGCGAAACGTGGCAGCCAATTGCACATAGCAGTGTCCCACAAACAGTCGTGAGTGACCAAATTATTGTTATTTATTTTGAAGGAATTATTACCCCCGGAAAAGCGATGCGCCAATCGACTAACAACCAGGTTCCGATTTACTGCTAGGTAAAGAGAGGCGTGTGGAGTAAGGAAATTTGCTCAACATTTCGCCCTGCCGGGAATCAAACCTGGGTCCTCTCATTTGTGAGGTGAGTGCTCTAACCACTGAGCTTCAGGATTCCACTAATTGGAGAAAGCACCAGTGAGGTCACTTCACAGAAGTTATGACAATTTCAGATATTGGAGCCACATTGTAACGAGTTGCCTCGTATGGTTTTGTATATGTAACAAACACATTATTTATAAATTATTATGTAAATATAAAAATAGTCTTTACCTTTTCATTATTAACCAAGGAGTAGACATACAATGGAATGAAGAGCCTGTTCAGCAGATGGTCCGTCAGCACATCACTCAGAAATTCACAGTTAATAATCAAGATATCATTCAGATAATGCACATGATCCAAGTGCTCTGCCACCAGGTCACTCAACTTTCCCCGATTTCTGTGCCTACGAAACACAAAGGTGAAAAAAAAGTTAAGAAGCATCTAATTAGCAAGCTTGATTCTCAGAAGTGAAATCTAATCAAAATCTGTGAAATTGGCACAGTTTAGAAATGTCAAACACAGAGTAATGCTGCAACAAATTAACCCAACCTCTCCATTTCTTACTATATAATTATTAATATCAATTATATAATATTCCTTGCATTTGATACAATGCCTTTCATATCAATAAGGCGAATCAAAGGGCTTCACAGGATTCACTGTAAAATGTAGTGACTAAACACATGCTTAGAGGTAGGTGATTGCCTAGGGTCTTTAAGATGGAGAAGAAAGTGCATATAATCGGCAATTATCAAGTTATAAAAACTTACTCTTCATCAGTTTGCACACAGTTGTCCAAATCGATCACATGGCTGCCAATGAACCAAACTAGATTGGAGAAGTAGGGCACTGCTGTTTTATCCCTGATATAGTGCAACATAAGTTGGTTGTCCACTGTCCATGTAAAAAGTAAATAAATGGTGTTGGTTAACAAAATCTAAAAATGAAATTTTCCATTTGAACTTCTTAACTGAAATAATAATAATCATTTTAACTTTTGGTAAAGCGCCTTCCACATCAGGAGGAGGCCCAAAGGGCTTTGCAGGATATACTGTAAAGAGCAGTGACTATGTTTTTTGGGCGAACCCGATAGCCAATTTGCGCACAGCAATGTCCCGCAAACAGTCATGAAGTGAATGACCAATGTTGATGACACCCAAGTTATTAGCATATAATCTACTTCAAAAACTCCAAGTGTATTTCTTCTGAACTCATTACTTGCCTTGTACTTACAAAGTACATATGCATTGGGAGTACAACCACAATTAAGTAGATTTAGGACCAGCTGAATTTTGTTAGCGGTGCATTTAATGATAAGTGCATTTATTGCATCATTTTACCCATGAATTAATATTAGTACTGGAGGTCATCAGAATCATCATCATTTGGCCATCAAAGCTGATATTAATTTGGCATATCACAATATCTATTTACAATTGAGAAGTTCGCCATCAATTTAATTCTTAAATTTGGGACAAAATAATTAATTTTACAATGAAACGTGCAGACTCCACATACAATGAAACTCCATACCCCATTATAACACAGTTGTCTGGGTACAGTATTGCAGAGGCTCCAGTATAACAAAGCCTGAGAAATAACCTACTACCGAGGAGTTAGCGAGTCCCCAATGATATCATTTCCTGTGCGATGTGCATGCGGTCAATTCACAACCCAAGTGACTTCCTTCTGAAAATGTCAGTTGCCATTCCATCCTCATAGCATAGCATACAGGAAATGACAAAGATACTTTCTGCGCAGCATCTGCATCAATGGACAACACAGAAGTTGGCCACTTTCCAGCACAAGAAGCTGGCTGGTCAGTGCTGGCTGATCCTGCGCTTCTGGTGCACGGAAGACCCGAATTCGATGTGAACCTACACCCATCTGAGGTGAGTTTAAATGGGGCTGCTCTGTAATACAGCCTCATTATAACATGGCATTGGTGACCATTCATTGCACATGCACATTAGCGCAAAAAGGCCAGCTGCACACATGTGCAATAAATGAAGTCCACGTAGCAAAGTTGTGCTTTAATGAAGCGCTTTATAGTGGGGCTGCACTATATTTAGTTCTGATTTCATGATTCATGCTTTGGGACTATATGCTGGCACCTTTAATAATTGTATTTTGATTGGTGTTTTCACCTTGGACTACAACTTCGCAAAATATGCACCAAAGGTTTAAATAGTTTGTCACTGTATAAAATTTGCACAAAAATTAAAACAGAATTAGAGGAATACAATTATATATTTTAAATGCAATATAAAACGGTTTCTGATACATGCATTGCAAACACCTGGTTAATTTTATGGAAGGCAAATAGGACTTAAACAAACTTGCTATTAAAAATTAACCATTTCCTGGTTTTATTAAGATCGTCTGATTTATTACTGTTACTCACAAATGCATCAGTCTTAAATGTGACTGCTTTGTGGCCATTATAAGAAGAGTGTTTACCTTTCTGTCCGAATTGAGAAAAACACAGCCTTATAAAAGGTTTTTATAGATCAATTTTATTCTGATGCAAGTTCTCTTCAGGTTTAGTTGCCCCATAGAAGATTTAATCTCCAACAAATAAACAAGTTAATGCAGCTACTGTACTATATCGGCATCTTTGAATTATTAAGGAAACCTTGTTTATTTTTTAAGTTCACATGAAAAAATCTTAAGAAAAAAACCTAAGCTGTTAATCAACTTACATGAGACTGGGATGGTACATAGGGAGGATCATCATTGAAGGAAGGGCAAAAATAGATAACAATTATTAAGACAAGCACTGGACAGCAAGGCATCTTCCAGAAGATAACTAGCTTGGCTGAAATAGGAAGCACATGGGACTAAAAGACATAGCATGTTAGCAGCAGTTATACTACAGGAAATAAATCGACTGAAAACAAACAAATGAAACTGCACTGTAGAAAGTCTTTAAAAAGGATCATCTGCACAGTGCATGTGATTTCCAGATTAACTAAATAATGGTTATTTCACTGAACAGTTTATTTGAGGGGAAGGACAGGAACACAAAACATATTTGGTCTGCTTATCAAAGTGAGGGGTGACAATGGCTGGGCATGGCAAGTTTGTCTAACCTAGTTTTTATAAGGGCAATGAATGATTTTGAAGTTGATGGACCAGTTCAGACGAAAGATCATCGATCTGGAACGTTAACTCACTTTCCTCCCTGCATAGATGCTGCTTGACCTGCTGAGGTTTCTCAGCAACTTCTATCTTTATTTCAGATCTCCAGGATCGGCAGTATTTTGCCTTTTTTTTCCATTTGTTGCTTCAGTAGTTTAAATGAATAGTAAAGCTAACTGTAAACTGCTTCAACAATGTATTTGAACTCTAAACCAACCAAATAGAATCAAATTAGAAAGGTTCAAAAAATATTTTTTTCACCACTTCAGTAATACAGTGACAGAAAATGTGGACTGTACTGCAGAAAAAAAATAATGGGAGATATTGACTGGTACTGCAAAAAACAGAAAGCAAAAAATCTGTAAATGGAACTTTCATTTTTTATCAATTAAAAGAAAACATCACACCGTTCCTTTTAAGCAATTGCTTATATTTGACAAGATGCCTGCACTACAAATTACATTTCAACATGGTATTACTGTCAGCATGCAATTAACCCAAGGAGAAAAATTAAAGCTAAAGTAGTTTCTGGCTATAGATTTCAAATTTAAGCTAGATCCAATTGTATCTATCTATGATCTAAGCGAATAGTAGTTTAAATCTAATAGGTTAGCACAGAGAAATTTACTTGCAGCGAGGGGCGGGGGGGTGAGGGTGGAGATGAGAGAAGAGGAAGAGGGTTAACTATAATTTTCTGGCACTCTGAGACAAGTACCTTTTCCAGAAAAAAAAGTTTTAAAATAAATTGTCAGCAAGTTTCAGTATTAGAATTAATTAACTTCGTTATTAACAATAAATGTTATTTCTAAACAACAGGTCTAAAGCTACTAAAGTAGTGCTTAATTGAAAAGCATTTTCTCGGTTTTTTGATACAGTTCTCACTACATACTACTTTCCATTAGAGTCCAGTGAGCGTTCATTAAAAGGGTTAATACAGAATATGTAAAATCCTAAGGTGCTGCACTCACCTTTGTACACGTTAAGGGTGATTGTCCTGACAGCAATTCTGACCATGCTCTCTGGGTGGTTGAAAAATTTAATGGCCTCCGTGTATAGAGCAAAATCATTAGTATGCTGCAATTATAGGAGACAATAAAAGGTGAGCAAGAAAGCAACTGGGTATTCATTACCTTCTAACAGGAATCTACTGCAGATCATATTAAATTGATTAAACTAGTTCTCAAGAATCTTCTTATTTTCCTTGAAGTTTTATTTTCACTTCAAAGTACTCTCTTGAGATGCCATAATAATAATAATCCTTGCATTTGATATAGCGCCTTATCAGGTCATCAAGACATCTCAAAGCGCTTCACAGGATATACTGTAAAGTGGAGTGACTGTGTATTTCGTGGGCGAAACGTGTGTCAGAATGGTTTAGCTTGTGGGAGTGCTGTACACGTTTGCAACCATGATTCTCCATATTTTCTTTTCAACATAAGCTTCAACAAACTGGAGTGACTTCATTTTCCTGCAGTCAACACTATACACGCCAGGGAATTATGCACAGAAAAATAGCACCCATTCCCAAAGGGATAATGAGGGTCTGTTGTGGACTGTAAATCCAGTTTCTGGTGCTGAAGCTGGCTTAAGCCATTACGTCGCACGCATCGCGCTTGTGTGCTATAAGCTGGAGGCGCTGATGACGTCATTTAATAATGGGTGTGACGTCAGTGGTACTTCTCGCACACAGCACACAACAACAACTTGCACTTACATAGTGCCCTCTACGCAGGGTAGCGTCTTAGAGCACACAGGAAGGGATATCAGTGGCACCCTGACAACGCACAAGTCTGCCATTGATTGAACTTTGCTTAGAATGTGGCCCTTGAAGCTATTGAACCCAGGAGATCCAACAGCTGTTAATACAATGAATATTATTTTAAAAAACTGAAATAAGTGGTTTGTCCTAAGGAATTATGAACAATTAATCCTGCAAATTGGAGAACAAGTTAAACTAGACATAGCTATAATAGTTTAACTCTTGCAGCACATGTCCAACTTTGAGACATTATTGAGCAAGAATGCAAGTGAATGATATTCTGGTACTAATGGTGCATCCTTCAGTTTAGTAAGCCCATGCTTAAATTATAACCAAATTATAAACCTTTTTTTATCTGAGTGCAACTTTTAAAAAAAGAGTAAATCGACATGAGAAAATGACAGTTTATAAACTCATGCAGCAGTTAGTTCTGGTACGGTCTTCTATTTACAGCCTATTGGTGAAAATAAGCGTGCAGCAGATGTCCCATTTGCACGAGGCAATATTCAGCCCAGTTCCTCTTTATGCAACAGACCTCAAAAAGCAACAATAATTATACCCTTAAATATATATAATAGTAATCATTATTCGGAATAAGGTGGAAATGATATCATTGTCATAATAATAATCCTTGCATTTGATATAGCGCCTTATCACATCGTTGAGGCGTCTCAAAGTGCTTCACAGAATATAATGTAAAGTGGAGTGACTGTGTATTGTTGGGTGATTGCATGATTGCACACAGTAAAATTAGGTTCGGAGAATATGCATTGGAAAGTATTTTCAAATATCCGGCAATGTATGTATAAAACTATGAGTAACAAAGCAAAATGCTTTCTTACACTATATGAGACGGTACCACAATACACAGCTCATTATAATGGTAAAAACAAACAAGTAAATGAATGCATTATACTGTACTACCGAGCATTCCACACACGTAAATTCCCACGTGTTGGTGACATACATGGAACTCTGTCTGGTGATGATGATGGGATTCCAAACGTGGATGAGCGCCCCAATAATTAGGGGTGAATCTTTCTCTTAGGAATGTTGGATTTGAGAGTGGGGGGGGGGGGGGAGGGAGAGAATGGATGCTAAGTGAATATAAGGGAAAGATCAAAATTAAGTTGAAATACCATATTTGTGGCACATCACCCTGGGTTTGTAATGTGCCCTGGGTGTTAGACTAGGGAGCCCTCTACTGGAGAAGAAATATAATTAATTTAAAAATATTATAGATTTGGCTTTTCCTTTTCAGCATTTACTTAATGCAGTTATGTCTACTCCAGGTCTATCACTGGTTGTGAGAATAATTTTAGCTCAAGTCCATTACCGTCCACCTATCGACACTATGCCAAGCGACAACACTGAAGTACATTCATTACTAACCAGCGGCTGAATTTCCTACAGACGTTTACAAAGTAAATGTAATGTTAAATATTCCAATGTTAACTCTTACCTCATTGTAAAAAAANTGTACAGTATGATTATTCAGTTTAAGGGAAAGCGTCTTCAGGAAGGAGATGTAATATGCCATGATTTCTTCATCGGAGAAGTCAAACTTATGCACAATGATGGAATTCACATGGTTATTCGACAGCAGATAATCTGTAAAAGATTAATAGTACTGTTAAATTTGCAGACTGTCTATAGGGAAGTCAATTGTCAGGAATATCTGTAAGTGATCCGTATACCACACTGATTTTATAGTTGACTTCATCCCCACTATGCAATCTTCATTAAGTTTTAAAAATGATAGTTACAAAAGTACTTTTCAAAGTACTTTAGCTGAGACACATGAAGTTTGGGTTTCACAACAAGAATGGGTTTCACAGCAATCAAGAGTATCCAAAGCAGAAAAAAGTTTCTTCAAAATACACAAACTCCACACCACACTGCACAAAACAGAGATTTAAGTTGTTTTTATTTAATTTGCAGCCAATATCTGTTAATCAAAATACGTTAAAGGACCTGCCATCTCAATTTCAGGTAAAGTATGCCAATTAAGTAGGTGGAATTGCATTGCTGAGCAAGTATTGAGTCATGAATCAATCCTAAGTGAGAAGGATGAGATGAAAATGTCCTTTGACTGAAGGGTGTAAATATCTGACACGTAAAGATTTTGGGGCAGTCTCAACCAAGTTGCATTCAGAGAGACCAGAGATCCAGGTACGGAAGGTACAGGGGATTTTTCTGAGTGTTTTACTGAGATGCATCGGAAGCAAAGTTAAAGCACTTTCTCTGCAACTAACCAAGCTAACAGAGTGTGTGATCCTGACAAATATAGAGAGTGCAGTTAACAATGAACAAGATTGTTAGCAAAAGGCAAAATCTTTTGTCTTTCTTTCCCCGCTCCCTTCTCTGCTTGTCCTTATAATCTGTTCCCTTATCAACATCCCCCAGTTCTGACAAAGTCATAGACTTGAAACGTTAACTCATTTTCCTCTCTCCATAGATGCTACCTGACCTGCAAGATTGTAAGCAACTTCAGAGAGACAAAGATTGGGCAGAGAAATGGCAAATGAAATTTTATGCAGACAAATTTGAGGTTATATATTTTGGCTGGAAGAATAAGGACAGGTGATAACATTTTAAAAGGAGTGAAAGAGCAGAAAGAACTACAGATTAACATACATAAATTCTTAAAGGTGGAAAGACAGATGAATAAACTGAAAATAAATTGTAATGAATTAAGTGTAATTAGGGCAATCAAAGTGGAAGAGAGGTGAGGTGGTACAGAAGGTTGCCACATCCTCCTTTCACCTCTAGGATGAGGATTCAAATCTAGTTATTCTTTTCACCCACCTTTACCCTTCCTCTCTCCCTCTTTTGTTCCCAGATTCACCCACAAAACACAGTCATTCTACTTTACAATAGGCAGCTATTTAGGATGATCTCCCGACATCCAAGACACTATAAGCAAATGTAAGGGTTATTATTAGACAGTATTAGTTTGCACACACAAATCATAGGTCAGATAATAATAATCCTTACACTTGATATAGCACCTAATCCCATCATTGAGACATCTGAAAACGCTTCACAGAATATACCATACATTTTGTGGGGGTGAAACACAGCAGCCAATTGCGCACAGCAGTGATCCATAAAAAGTTGTGGATTGAGTGACCAAATCATTTTATTTTAAGGGATTATTATCCCTGGAAAGTGATCCGCCAATCGATTAACAAATGGGGTTCCTAATTACTGCTGGGTAAACAGAGGCGTAAGGAAAGTTGCCTTAAGTTTCGCCGAACCTGTCTCCTCTCGCTTTTGAGACGAGTGCTCTAAACAATACTTTCTTAGTATGTCAGACTGGCTTAGAAGAGATGAACGTACTAACAATACACTGCAGGACTCAATGGATACCGGAAAGTAATCATATTTAGATGACAAACAGCATCGTCTGCGTATGTGTGTTTGGAACAAGGAAAAGAAAGAACAATTTGCTATATTTAATGGCAGTGCTATGCACCCATTTTGCAGTCTTGAGAAAACAAAAGAAGAACGCATGGCAGCACAGTTTGGAGTAACAATAAGAAAATAAGAAAAACTTACATAGTGAGGTTTCATGGCTAATATTCTCAAAAAGAATGTTGAGAGTCTGAAGCAGCTGTACACAGACATAACGCCCTGATTTCTGACGCAAGATGTTTAAGAAGAAAACAAACATGTTCTTCTCCAAGAAAAAGCTGCAACAAAAAACGTTCTTTATTAATATTTACACACACACCCACACACAAAAGAAAAACAAACAAAACAGAGAGAGGGAGAGGAGGAAAAAAAACAATTCAAAAGAAATTTCTAGGCACTAGACAATCTTAAAATTTTACTCTACAGATGAATTCTCACACTGGGAGAGCTGATAATAAAACTCTCCATAGGCAAAACAGATGAAGAATAAACAGTAAGGTACTCACTCAAACACAGAACTGTCATTTTGATCTCCCCAAATAAGAATCTCTGTGATGGACCGAATAGTCTCCACCAGGAGGTTGCGATTACTATCCGTCACAGTCGTATTCTTCGTTAAGACATGGTACATGTATCTGGAGAAAATATTTTTTCAAATTATAATTCAAAAATACAGAAATACATCAGAGCATTTCCACATTACTTACATACCATACCAATTCTGTTCAAAATCTGGCTCTTCCAGGTGACAGGTCAGCATCTTTACCCTTCAATGTAACTAAATTAATCCTTCCTCCTCAATAGAACAGAAATATGTACCACTCTAGCTGTGGTCATGTTGACACACAAGGACAGTATTTCTGGCAACTTTTTCTGTTCCACTATTCCTTGTACGAGAGAACCCCAGGACAGCATTCAAAACACCCAATAGGTTTTTGTTTGACTTGTGGCTATATCTGAATAGTTGAGATTAGTACATTTGACTTTTATTTTTACTAACTAAGGATACAGCAGAAGAAAGTACACAGATTAATGGAAGAAAATTAAAAATATAATGCAGTGTATAAAAAAAGCAAGGATTATTATAACCCAAATTAAAGCACAAATGGTAACACAAATTAAAGCCAGAATTTCAAGGCGATGCAAATCAGATGATCAAAAAAGCAAAAACAGAATTGATAATTGTAGCTGTACAACCACATTTTCCGGCCAGATAAATAATCCCTTAAAAAAAATTTGGTCACTCAATCCACAACTGTTTGTGGGACACTGCTGTGCGCAATTGGCTTCTATGTTTCACCCACGAAATTTACAGTATACAGTATATTCTGTGAAGCACTTTGAGACGTCTCGAAGACGTGATAAGGTCCTATATTAAATGCAAGGATTATTGTTGTTGTTCTATATAATTGTGCCCACTAAAGATAGAGATACAAATCAAGCAGGAATTTCAGTATTCTGAACTAGCACAGAGCTCAGTATAGAGATCTCCACTGTAGAGAAGGGGGATCCAACCTTTTGGCTGCCGTGGGCCAGATGCCGAATTTGAGAAACATCTGCCAGTCGCACAAGCAATATTTCTGTATTTCCCTTCTAGAAACATAACATTTACACATCGCCTTCTTCACGTCACAAGGACATCTCAAAGCGCTCAACACTGCTGGCTTGGAGTGGGAGTTGATGGGGTGGGGAGAGGAAAAGATGACCAAAAATGCCATCAAAGAGTTGGATCTTGATGTACTTTGAAACAGGGTAGGCAGAGAGCAAGTAGGAGGGACTCCGGGAATGGAGCTCCAGAGAGCGTAGGCAAAATGGGATGGTTTTCATCCACGTCAGTTCGTGGGACACTGCTGTGCACAATTGGCTGCCGCGTTTCACCCACAAATACACAGTGAATCCACTTTACAGTATATTCTGTGAAGTATTTTGAGACATGACAATGGCAAAGCTGTGGGAGCAGGTTGTACAACTTCGCTGTCAAAAGGTTTATCAAGGTGAAAAGGCAGAAATATAAATGGATTTCACATTATTATAAAAACTGTTATCTGTGAGAAGTCTCTAAAACAACAAACAAAATTAAGTTTGATCTATATTGCACAACTATTTTGTTGACCTTTGGCTGAGATGCCTCTTCAGCGTCCCCCTCTGAGCTCCAAGGTGACATGCTCGGCAACAGAATGTCGTAATTGAGTCAACTCTCCATGGCAGTCTCGGTAGTCCGGTTCCTGAGCCAGGTATAATATGCCAGGGCACTGCTAATGACAGCCCAGCCAGCCTGGCCCATCACCATGACTTGGAGGGGCAGACCAGACAATTGGGGGCAGAGATTCTTTCCACTCAGCTCCTATTAACCATGCAAGTCAAAGCCTTAAAGGACAGGGTTGGATAAATAGCAGAAAAGCTTGTCAGGCACTGTTTCAATGTGGTAAATTATGCAGTTTTAGCTGGTTAGACTCCAGGAGGGCCCCAAGCCTTGGCTTTTGCCAGACTGGGCCTAAAACTCTCCAGCATCAGTTAAGCACAATGCGTTCCTCCACGGAGAGCGTGCATTACATTCTGGGACATGGGAAATTCCACGTGGTAGTGGCATGCACGGAACATTCAGTTTGTTTAGGATACTTTTAAGCACGGTGATGGGTTTCTGCATGTGAAGGCCAAACAAAAAAAATGGTTTACTTTAACAAAGAAGTAAACTCACAAATAAGCAATGGTAAACAACAACAACTTGCATTTATATGGCCCCCTTCACCTGGGGTAGCATCTCACCGAGCACTGAACCATGGTGATGTTCTACTATCCACAACTACAACTGATTCAGAACTCCACTGCTGGTATTCTCACTGGTTCAGATCCTACCTCTCACACTGTGCCCACAAATGGTTTCTCCTCTACCCCCGCATCGTCTCGTGCGGCGTTCCTCAGGGCTCTGTCCTTGGTCCCCTCCTCTTCAACTCCCCTCCTCCTCCTCTCCTATGTGCTCCCTCTTGGTGACATCATCTGCAGACACGCGGTCAACTTCCACGTGTATATGGATGACACCCAACTGTACCTCTCTGCCTCCACCCTCGACTCCAGGACCATTGCTGTCCTGACAGAATGTCTGTCAGACATCAAGTCCTGGAATGAGAGCTAACTTTCTTCAGTTGAATGCCAAGACCAAGGCTCTCCTGATTGGCTCCCACCAATGCCTCCACACTGTGCCATGACCCGCTCTGCCTTCCCCCACCTCCGCCACTGTCTCACACCGCAGGCCAACGAAACCCTCATACACGCATTCATAACATCTAGGCTTGACTATGCAAACTCCTTACTTGTCGGCCTCCCCACTCCTCCCTCCATAGGCCAGATCATCCAGAACTCTGTACCCCGTGTCCTCTCCCACACCCAGGCTCCGTCACTCTATCACCCCCATCCTCGTCCAACTCTACTGGCTTCCTATCACATAGAGGATACCGTTCAAGATCCTGGTCCTCACTTCAAAGCCCTCCATGGTCTCGCTCCCTGCTATTTCTGCAACCTTCTAACCCTCTACCAACCTGCCCGCTCCCTTCGGTCAGTGGGCTCCAGCCTGCTTCACGTCCCCCACCTCGCCGCCCCACCATGGACGGGCAGGTCTTCCGCCACTTTGCCCCCACCCTCTGGAACTCCGTCCCACGATCGTTCCACCTCGCCCCCTCCGTTGCCTCCTTCAAGACCCGGCTCAAGACCCTCCTCTTCGACTGTGCCTGAGATCATGCTCTATGCCCTACGCGCTCCCCGATCTCGACCCCCAGCTCAGGTCTGGAACACTGATTATCCAGCGCCTTGGGACATCCTCCCGATGTGAAAGATGCAATACAAATGTAATTGTGGTGGCGTTGTTCATGCGGGATAGAGTCCCGGAGCGCTTAAAGATGGGCAAAACTGGGCACGGCGGACGGACAATGATATGTCCACAATATATCCTAATAGCTCCTCGTCCTGTGGCATCAGCAGCACCGAAAGCAGCGCCTATATTTCTGTACCGTGGAAGTCAACTCTGCAACTTTTAACCTGGAACTTTTCATACGCTGTTTTGCGAGCGCTCGTCTCCAGCCAAGGAGACGGCGCTGCAAAAATGTCGTTAAGCGCCGTTACACCAAACCACAAAATAATCTGAGCGATGAGGCTCTGCGGTCAGAGCGGTTATAAAGGCTTATACAGTATTTGAAGACATCTTAAGACATCCCCCCCCACCCCCCACCTCCCCCACACAAACTAGTTTGTCGCATCAGCAGTGAAAGGACTCATCGATACTATTTGTAAACAAAGGTTAATCCTACAGCCTCATCCCCCCCCCACACCCACCCCCTCACCCCCCCTCCCCACCCTCCCCCCCCACCCACTCCCCACCCTCTCACCCTCCCCCCCACCCCCTCACCCTCCCCCCATCCCCTCCCCCCACCCCCTCACCCCCTCACACACACACAGTCCATTTCAAGCCGTTTGATAATCCCTATCCCCGCGGCGGAGAGTTCTTTTTGATTAAAAAAATATATTATGTTTTCCCCCTCAGGGCAGTGAGGGCGGCAGCGGCCGCGGCGAACGTCAGTTAACACTCAAACCGCGGTGGTGTCTATCTCCCCCCCACCCCCCACCCGCCGCCGCGCGGCCTGGACCCACAGGCCTCGTCCGCCCCCCGGATATCCTCTTCCTCTGCCCGGCCGGCCGGCACAGCCCGGGCCCCCCCTCCCCACCCTCAACAACCCCCTCAAACCGCACCACTCACTTCAGATGTTCCAGGGAATGGATGTTGCGGGGGGACTTGCCGGAGCTCCCGCCGACCCAGCTCCTCGAACGGCCGAACATCACTTCTGGAGGAGACTTGTCGGGCGCATCCTACAGAGAGCAGCGAGTGAGTGAGGGAGTGAGTGTGTGTGGCTGACGGTGACATTCACAGCCCGCGCCCGCTCTCCCCCTCCCCCTCCCCCTCCCCTCCCGGGCACAACCGCCGTCACGTCACCGGACGTCACCACCGCCGCACAGCCCGCTGGGAGATGCAGTTCGAGTCGACGCGTCAGATATCGGCCGCCGGGCGGGTTCTCGCCCAATTGGGCGGGTTTTTGCGCCCAAACGGGGCGGGTTTTGTTTCCTTCTTGTCCTGTGCAAGGTTTGGGGGGGGGGAGTTTGGGGAGGGGGGGGGGGGGCAGGTGAAAGATTTTGAAAGAGGTGGGGCTAATTTTTTTTCGATTTGTTTGAATATAATTAAAAACCTGGCCAGCTTCGGGGGGGGCAAAGCATACTTTCACCCACAAGATAGACAGTATATCCTGTGAAGCGCTTCGAGGCGTCTCGAAGGCATGACAAGGCGCTGTATCAAATGCAAGGATTATTATTATTATTATAATATTGGGCGACTTTGGGCTACAAACGTATTTTAATTCATGACACCCCTCGGACAGCCAGAAAGCCCAGTATAATGAAAAGGTAACTGTTTGCAGGCTGAGGAGCAGCCCCCCACCCCCCACCCTCTCTCACACACACACACACACACAGCTTCCAGCCTGAGAGGAGATTGGATCAAATCACAAAACACCCTATCACTGCACTTAACCGTATATTGAGACATCTCAACGACATGATAAGGTTCTATATCAAATGCATTAATTATTATTATTATATCATAACTTTAATCACAATCCTCCTCTGGGACCGTGGCTCCTGGTGACTCGCGTGATGGGAGTTAACCGCGGTACAGGTAAACGGCACTAACTCAGGTGGTTGCGGGGTTCAGACTGACCGCCTTGTGCGGCGGTGGCGGGAGAGGTTACGGGGTTCAGACTGACCGCCTTGTGCGGCGGTGGCGGGAGAGGTTGCGGGGTTCAGACTGACCGCCTTGTGCGGCGGTGGCGGGAGAGGTTGCGGGGTTCAGACTGACCGCCTTGGCGGGTGGCAGGAGAGGTTGCGGGGTTCAGACTGACCGCCTTGTGCGGCGGTGGCAGGAGAGGTTGCGGGGTTCAGACTGACCGCCTTGTGCGGCGATGGCGGGAGAGGTTGCGGGGTTCAGATTGACCGCCTTGTGCGGCGGTGGCGGGAGAGGTTGCGGGGTTCAGGCTCACTGCCTCACGCGGCGGTTGCGGACTCAGCGAGGCGGGCAGTGCGGTCAGCTCTGTGGGACGTCACCCCTGCGTGCCAGAAGGCAGCAGCGAGTAGTTGCTGCCGTCTCGTTTCCAAATCCCTTCGTGCCCCCTCTCCCTCCCTACCTTTCCGACTTGCTCACCCCCACACTCCGCCACCCGGCGCGTCTCCTCCGCTCAGCCGGCTCCGGCCTCCTGTTCGTCCCTCGCCCCCTCTGCTCCACCATCGGCGGAGTCACGATCAGTCACGGCCGCCCCGATCCCTCCACCTTGTCCCCTCCCCACTTTCAAATCCCGTCCGTGATGGCGCTTACAGTCACCTCTCCAATCCCTCTCCCGCCTCTGGCTCGGGGGTCAGACTCCCCCCCACCTACCCACCCACCCCAGGTTCCCCCACTCCCCCCCCCTCCCACACACTGTGAAGCAATATAAATGCAAGTTGTTGTGGTCGTTGTGGTTCTGTTGTCCACCCCCCCCCCAGCCGGGTTGTGGCGTCAGGCTGAGTGACGTGCGCGTCCGGCCAATGAGCGGCGGGCGTCATTGTGTGGGGCGGGGCCTCAGCCCGGCCCCCCCCACCACCACCACCACCTCCCGGGCTCAGCCAATGAGAGGGAGAGGAAGGGGCGGGAGCTGGAGGAGGCGGCGGGAACCGGGCCGGAGAGAGAGCGCGCGAGAGAGAGAGAGAGAGCGGGGGAGGGAGTCATGGCGCCCGTGTCAGGGTAGCGGCTCACACACACACACACACACACACTGAGGGAGTGAAGTGAGGTAAATAGAGAGAGAGAGAGAGCAGCCACTCGACAGAGAGAGAGCGTCGAGAGCAGCAACTGTGAGAGAGAGAAAGAAAGAAAGAAAGGAAGAGGATAAACCCCACACACACACACACAAAAAAACAATCAGAGAGGAAGAAAACAACAACAAATGTCAGTGCCGCCTCCCTCCAGCGACGCCAGTCAGTCAGTCAGTCAGTCAGCAGCAGCGCCACCAGCACTGCCGCAGTCCCCCCATCTCCTCGCCGCCGCCGCCGCCATCGCCGGGTACCGGTGGCCGCTGAGCCCCGCGATTCGCTGTGGAGCCCGTGGCGGATGAGCTGCCCTATATGTTTTACGTGGGATTGTTCTTTGTGAACGTGCTGATCCTGTACTACGCCTTCCTGATGGAGTACATCCTCCTCAACGTGGGCATCGTCTTCCTGCCCGACGACTTCGACCAGGCGCTGGTCGACCTCGGCGTCCTGTCGGACCCGGGGTCGGTGACTTACGACACGGACGGCGAGTTGGATGTTTTCGACGGTTATTTCGACTGAGAAGCCTTGGCCGGCGGGTGGGGGAGAGAGAGAGAGAGGGGAGAGAGAGGGGAAGGGAAGGAAACGACCAAAAAAAACAAAGTGAATTGATAATAAACTAAAAAAAAATCCCATCCCTCGTCCTCCCCTCTCACTCTCTCTCTCTCTCTCTCCTCACTCTCTCTGCCCTCCACCTTCTTCTCCTCCTTCTCCTTCACCATCTCTCCTTCCCCGTCCTCTCTCTCCCTCTCTTTCTCTCTCTCCCTCTCTCTCCCTCTCGTCTCTCTCTCTCCTCCACTCCTCTCCCCCCCAAAAAAAAAGAAAAGAAAAATAAAAAAAAAATGGAAAAGCAACTGGATGTCGTGTCGCCGGGGTCCGATTCCCAGAGCTCGGTTCACCAGCGAAGCACTCGGCTGCTGAAGTAAAGGGGAATCTCACAGTATTTATTTACAGTCACACTCCCCCCTCCCCCTCTGCCCACAGGGAACTTACTTACCTGAGGCTGGTGTGTCTTTTCTCCTGTTTTTTTTTCATTTGAAAAAGAAAAAAAACAAACAAGAAAAACTCAAGACACACAACACCAGAAAAAAAAAAGCAAAGATGCGCTGTCTGGTTTGGGTGCATCCGAAAGCGTTGTTCTGGGCTTTACTTTCTCAATCCCGGTTTAAACTGTTGGAAGACTTGCCTCCTGCAATGGATACCCACGGGAGAAAGTGAGGGATCGGGTGCCTTTTCCTTACCGCCGTTCCCTGGCCGGTCGAGAGCTTTGCAAATACTATGGATTATTTTCCAGATGGTATCTGGCTCATAAACGATGGGAGTACCTGAACACCATTTGCAGAACAGCAGACCTGCCTGTCCAGGATTAACTAACAGTAGGTATCTTGTTTTTTTATATAATTGAACCTCAGTCTCTTCCCATTCACTTCTCCAGGAGGGTGAGAAACACCACACACACACACACACACATTTTGCATCTGAGATGCCTTTCGTTCTCAGCTTCCTTTCCCACGCCATCGGGGAGGCTTGGACATGTTAGAAGCTTTTTTGTGTGTGTGTGTGTGTGTTATTACACATCAGCCTGCTGATGGTCACCTTGCTATTGAGTGTGTTTGCTGGGATGGGGGGGGGGGGGGGGGGGCAGGACCAAGCCATCCCACATTTTAAATGGCAGCCCTCATGGGATACAGTGCAGCAGGAACTGTACCAGTGCTGCACACTTCGAAAATTATATATATATATGATATATATGTTTTTTTTAAAAAAAGGTCTATGTTTAATTAGTCTAATTGGATTTGATACTTGGGTCTGCACTGGATCAGCTGATTGCAGGCAGGAAGGACACAGGAAAGGGGACGACGCACTGGATGGAGGGGGAATGACTGCAATTCATTGATCGCTGCTGCAGAGTTGTGTGCGAACGTCATGGGGAGATGTGATGGTGGGGGAGAGCGGCAAAACACTGCATTGAGCTGTTTTTGCTATTCTTCTGAGTTACATATGGGGAGTGGGATAAACCTGTTTGTGAAGTGTGTCCTTCACTATGTCCTTCAGATTGTTTGCCAAGAAAAAAAATTCTGACATCAGATACTTTTCGGGAGTCCGTTTGATACTTATTCTGATTTTTAAAAAATATTACATAATAGTGTTAAAAGGGTTCACTGCAAAGGAGCATTTTAAAGTGGACATATACAGTTCTGTTACTGGGAGAGTTCTTGCTGAGTGCTTCATTCGGATTGCAAACTGAATGCAACACAAGTAGTCCTAAAGATAGCTTTGAACTCTGTCTTGTTCACTATCCGATCCATATATGGTTAATTAAATTGATTTTTTTCTAAAGTTAGCCATTTTGCTCCTTAGTACCTAAAGTTGCTTGAAAGTTTTGGTTCTATGGATGAGCCTTGTTAGTTAGTCACACTCTCATGGGTTCAAGTTCTACTTTGGGACTTTGAACTCGCATAGTCGAGACTGACAATCCAGTGCAGTGCTTGGGGTATGCTGTTTTGTTTGAGGTGCCATCCTTCATCCTGTTAAACATCTCATATTCTCATCTCATAGATGTTAAACATCTAATTCTCATCTGACAAGTCAGGTGGACATTAAATAATAATAATAATCCATGCATTTGATACAGCGCCTTATCACATCTTCGAGACGTCTCAAAGCGCTTCACGGAATATACTGTAAAGTGAATTGACTGTATATTTTGTGGGTGAAATGATAAGTACGGCACTATTCAAAAAAAAAAGGTAATTTCTCCAGGTGTCCTAGTGATGCCTCAAATAATTTTTGATAAGGCACTATCAAATGCAAGAATTATTATTCTTATAATAAAATTGATCAGTGACTTCATGACTGTGTGTGGGGCATTGCTGTTTGCAGATTCGCTACCACGTTTGCCCACAGAAGTGACTTGCTTTGGCAACTGAATGTTGGAATTGTTTCAACCCTCTCTAGCTGTCTCAGCTGGTTCAGTTCCTCACCCAGGCAGGTCACAGTGCTCCAGGGAATTGCTGATGACAGCCCAGTCATCCTGGCTCATCTCGAGAGGCATATACTCGCAGCAGGGATTTCTTCCCGGTTGGCTCCTGTTAACCCTGTAATACAAACAACAGCAACAAAATTACATTTATAGAGCGCCTTTCACGTCTGGAGAACGTTCCAAGGCGCTGGATATTCAGGGTCAGGACCGAAGCGTGGGGTAGGGGTGAGGGAAGGCAGAGAGGTGGGAGGGTGACCGAAGGCACGATCGAAGAGGACGGTCTTGAGACCGGCCTTGAAGGAGGCAAGGGAGGAAACGAGGTGGAGGGACTGTGGGATGGAGTTCCAGAGTGCGAGGCTGAAAGCTCGGCCACCGATGGTAGAGCGGGTCGGACGGGAGACATGGAGCAGCCGGAGCCCACTGAATGGAGGGAGCGGGCAGGTTGGTAGGGTGTCAGCAGGTCAGAGAGGTAGGAGGGGGCGAGGCCATGGATGGCCTTGAAAGTGAGGACGAGGATCTTGAATTCGATCCTCTGAAGGATGGGGAGCCAGTGGAGTCGGGTGAGGGTGGGAGTGATGGGGTCGCGGAGCGCGAGAGTACATACAAAGTCCTATAAGTAGATAGTCCTAGCCCGGCAAGCAGTGAAAGTTTATTAGGCAATGCTTTCAGTGACTAGTTGTTCGAGTTTAACTGGGTAAACTCCAGCAATACTCCATCGCAATCTCTGGGATCTCCAAGCCTTGGCTCTTGCCAACCTGAGCCTAATGCGCTTCAGAATTTGATAAGCAGGGTGCTTCCAGGGAAAGTCTGGTATTCCATGTGTAGGTGACATTGTGGAACCCAATCTGGTTTTGATATTTTTAGAACACATAGATGGGTTTCTGCAAATTTCAGACAACTGGCTGACCAACAAATATTGTGAATGGGATTGTCACTAACCTTGTTAATTGTGTGCTCGAAGTAGGATGTGAATAGAGCCATTAATAATAATCCTTGCATTTGATATAGCGCTTTTCACGTCGGGAGGACGTCCCAAAGCGCTTCACAGAACACACTGTAAAGTGAATTGACTGTATATTTGTGGGTGAACGCGGCAGCCAATTGCGCACAGCAATGTCCCACAAACAGTCGTAGATTGAAAATGACCGATTTATTATTGTTTTTGGTTTTGGAGGGATTATTATTAGGCGTGTGGAGTAAGGAAACTTGCCCAAGGTTTAAAACACCCACCCACGTTTTGAATCATCTCAAAAATGTTTGTTTTTAGTTCTATACCTGGGATTGCTATGCTTGCTTTAAAGTACTAAAATCGAACTTCAAAACTGGATCTGTAACAAGGTTAAATGAGCTGGTTAAAAGGTTACTTTCACTGCTCATTTTGCTAATGGTTTTGAAGCTTAAATGCTCTCTTAAAATGCCACATTGAAATCCTTGAAGCTTTGTTACAGCTCCTAATTCACAACATGTGTGTCAGCCTGGCTCAACTAGTAGCACTCTCGCCTCTGAATCAGTTGGTTCAAGTATCATGTGAACTCAGTCTGTTAGTATCACAACTAAGCTTGATTCTGTACTTACCTGAATACACACACACACACATCCAGCAGGAATTCTGGATAGCAATAAGAAGCAGGAGCTTCATTGAGGCTGATTTACCCCCCACCCCCTGAACATTTGCATGAGTCAGGGTAAGTTGGAGTCCGATTGGTAGAATATTTTAAGTTCTTGATTGAATATTTCTTGATTTATTTAATGTAATAATAATACTTGCATTTGATGTGTAGCGCTTTTCACGTCTTCTAGACGTCTCAAAGCCCTTCACAGAATATAGAGAATGTAAAATGAATTGACTGTATATTTATGGGCGAAATATGACAGCCAGTTGCACACTCGTGGACCGAGTGACCAAATTAATATCATTTATGGCATCAATCAAGAAATATTCAATCAACAAAATTTTATTTTGTTGGTTATGCTGACTGCTCACCCCACTGACACTGCTCAGTACTGTGTTAGGTAAACCTGAAAAGATTATACACCAGATACCAATTTTTGTCTTCAGCCCACCACCCCCCACCAACATCACCTTCCCCCCAGATGCAAATGCAACATCCAGCCAGTTTTTTTTTATGGTTGTCAATCAAGTGCAAAGAAAGGAGTGTGTTTCCGGCCTTGTTTTGCAAGGATTTCACGAAAGAGTATGTTTTTCCACCACACCCACGCACTCAATTTGTGAACAACATTCAATACTGTAATTAATTGTCCTTGAAAACGTATGTCAGGAGAGGGCGTTTTGAGCTCTATAATCTCAAGGGAGGTGAGAACAATTTGAGGCGATGAAATAAGACGTAACACACAAAAGTGTGTCAGCAAATATTAAAGTTTGTTTAAGTGGGATTTGTAGGCTATCTCTTTAAGAAACACAAAGATAATTAAGAAAGCCAATTAGATAAAGACAAGAAGTACAAAATAACACTGGGAGTGGGACAAATTGGTGTGGTTATGGCTAATGGATTGGAGTGTTCTGAGTTGAGAATAAAAAAACTTACTAACACACCTGTGCTTTGGATTGACAGTTATTACAGGATTCGTTCCTATATGAAGT